AGTGGGGTCCTGATTCATGGCTAGGCAGGGACTGCTGCTGTACAAATGATAACCAGTGATAATAAAAGAGCATCACTTTATCAAATCCACTCCTCCACGGGCTGCACAGCCATGAAATGTGCCACTTTTATAATGCTGTTCAATAAAAGTAGTAATGCCTAGCTCTTCTATAACACTGTTCCTCAGTAGATCTCAAAGCACTTTGCAAAGGAGGTTGGTATCATTATCCTCATTTTACAGATGGGGAAACTGAGGCACGGAGCAGGTGCAGAAACTTGCCCAAGGTCACCCAGCTGGCCACCGATAGAGCCAGGAATAGAGCTTAGGTCTGCTGAGTTGCAGTCCAATACTCTATCCACTGGGCTGCACTGCCTCCCACATAGGGGAGAACGTTTCACAAGTATGTTGTTAGGTATTTTTGTTGTATTTCTCCCCCTCTGCCCCCCAAAAGTCAAAAATTCCAGTCAGTTCTTTCCTCGTATCACCACCTGGCAGGAGAATTCCTGCCCTCACCAGTAAAGAGGTGTCCGAATCTATGGGCCTTGTGAATGAGCCGTATTGCATTTCAGCAATGGGTCCAGTTTGGGAACGCTGATCCAGTTGTTCTGTCTCTATGAAAGTACAAGCGCTGCAGGGAAAATGGTATAATCTGTCTGTCTCATTATTATGGATTGATTATGTATTACAGCAGTGCTTAGGACCCTCCCACCCCCGTCTTTTTGCTCTGTGTTTGTCCAGCACCTTGCACAATGGGGTTCTGGGCTATGACTGGGGCTCCTAGGTGATACAGTAATATAAATAATAATAGACCAGAACCCCGTTGTGCTAGGAGCTGTACAGGCAGCACAAGAAGACAGGCCCTTCCCCAAAAGGTTTACAGTCAAATGTATTTACAGCAAAGCATTCCAGTGGGGATTCCAGGACTGGACCTAGGCCACATGATGATATTAGTTCATTGCAGTGCTGAGGGCCCTGGGATTGATGGAGCAGTTCATTCCCAGTCAGAAGTCAGGGAGGTGAGGCTTTATGACTGGGTTGTGACTGGTTTGTGTGTTTTCTCCAAGCTGAAGTAATCCAGATGGTAGGAGCCTCTGGCTTCCAACGAGGCTGGTCTGCGTGAGTAGTCAGCACGCTCCCCCGATCCATTATGTGTTTAACTTTGCACATATGGGTGGTCTCACTGGGGTTATTCGTGCTGTGCTGTGTCTGGACCATCCTGCTCAGCACCCCCTAGCATTGAGCTCTTACTCGGTTGAGGGACGATCAATAAGTGCTCCCATCGGGCAGCCATGTTACCAACGAATCTAAGCACAACCTCTAGGTGTTCAGAAGGCCTCTATCGCCATAGTACCGAAGGGCCAACAAACTTAGCCACCG